ATATAGATATATATATTACTGTAAATAGGAAATGCATAGGCATACCTATATAGAGACATATATAGTAAATCTGTATGTAATAAAGGAGAAATCTAAGAAATCTATCTAAATATGAAATCTTTGGTTTTTTTTTAGAGCAGTCCATTAAGAAGTTTTTAAAATAAGTTTTAGATCTAAAAATACAAAAATATTTGAAAATAACAGCCTGATTTTTAACGCTTAAGAGGAAATGTAGATTTTTAGCTTTATTTATTCAATATACTCTAATGAAATTGGGTGTAATACAATAGTATACCATAAGTAAAACTCATTGTGCACAGTAATTACCTCTGCATAATCTTGGCTTACTCATGGTTGATGATGATGAGTTGTAGGCAAATTATGTCATTGAACGTATTTTATTCAATACATACTATAAATATATATATATATATGAATAATCGCACGATGATCGCATAACACACAGAATTTTACGCAATATACAGCACGGTCCAGTTGTTTAGTAACAGTTACAAGGCCTTGGCATTGAGTTGGTTCTCTGTTTACTTAAAGGGGAGTGAACTTTATTATATTTTGACACACTTATCCACACACACTTACACACATACACCAACACACATTCAATTAGTGTTATATTATATATATTGAATCGCTATCAGCCTCAAACAGATGAGAGCATTGTGTTATTTATTGCGCTGCTGTTGCTTGAAATTCATTTAATTGCTCACTCAATTGGTTACTGGAATCGTTAGAACTGACTCCCAACCTACTACTTACTTCCCACTCTCACCTCAACTCCTTTTGTTTTAACTGTCTCTCCTCACTGAAGTTGCTTGCAAATGAATTCCCTCTACTTGGGATGCCCTTACTCAAAACCCTTTCTTCTTTCACTCTCTATTTCAGCTTATAAGTTTCAGGAGAACTTGATCCGTACTATGGTGCAAATTGAGAATACCTATTTTGAGCTGGGTAATTCGAGCACGCGCAACTGTTTGATCATCTGCGATCGTGGCGTTATGGATGCCAGTGCATGTAAGTGGGCGAAACCCAATCAAAATTTCCTTAAATATACTTCAACTCACGCTTCTTTTGCTCCTCTCAGATATCCGCAAGGATAAATGGGAGGAAATGATGGCAAGCAATCAATGGAATCCAGTTGAGATGCGCGACAATCGCTATAATCAAATCTTGCATCTGGTCTCAGCTGCCAATGGCGCTGAGGACTTCTACTCCACAGAGGTGAGGAACTCATTTGCACTCTAATTGATAAGTTTGTACTCTTTCCCTTTCGCCCAACTTTGATCAATAAAAAATGTGTTTGTTTTTAAATTAAAGAAGAGAAAGCGCATTTACCAGGTATAAACTGATTAAAGCCCATTGAGTATATGTTGACAGCTGCTTGAGAATCGCTATGAATTAAGCTAGATGTGGAAAGCTTTAATTTAGCAATTGTTTAAAGGGAATGAAGAGCTTACATATAAGCTAAGCTCATGTGCTATCAAAGCCTTTATAGCATAGTTAGTCACTGTTTCTATGGAGCTCACTAGCTATATCTAGTGCAATACTCATCATATTCGTGTTATTAAAAAAAAAAAAGTCTGGCTTCACTTCCTCATATCTAAAATTGTAAGTGCTTGACACTTAAGATTAAATAAGTTGTTAGGTGTTCTCCTAAAGCTTTCATGTTTATTGATCAATCTGAAGCTAGGTATTTGGCTAGAGAATTTAGTGCTTGTTAAAGTCGTACATCTAGAAAAAAAGATTTAAAGATTTCTCTCTAAGCTCTACTAAAATAAACTTTAAGCAAATACCCATCTACATATGCTAATCTCTAAAACTTCTTTCAGGATCACGCCTGTCGCTCTGAGGGCGTTGAGCTGGCCCGTGAGCTGGATTACAAGTCGGCGGCTGCCTGGGTGGGCCATCCCTATTTCGATGTGATAGACAATTCCACCAATTTTGAGACGAAAATGAATCGCATGATTGAATCCGTGTGCCAAAAGCTGGGCATCGATACGCGCGATCGTTTGCAAGCTACCTCAAGGAAGCTCAAATTCTTGGGTCAGTATTTCGCAAAGAATTCCTCTTATGACTTGCATAAACTGATTACAATTGGTATTACGATTTTAGTTAAGGGCTTGCCGCCTGATAGCGTATTCCCGGCGTTCCAGGACTTCGACGTTGAGCATCGTTATCTACTGTCGGGTGGACCCAATGTACAGGCGCGTCTGCGCAAACGCGGCCAGAATGGTCACTGGAGCTATATACATACGCAGCGTCGTCCCGATGTGAATAACCGGGAGCGCATTGAGGTCAAGACTCAGCTAACGCATCGTGACTACATAAATTTGCTGGCCCAGAAAGATGAGGCGCACTTTACCATCTATAAGACGCGTCGCTGCTTTTTGATCAACAATCAATATTTCCAACTGGATATCTACAAGGAGCCATGTCATCCACGGTAGGTTTACAGACAATATCCAGTTTAGAAGATCTATTTGAGCAATGTCTTCACTTTCAATAGCTGCAAAAACTTGATACTATTGGAGACGTACTCCTCGTTGTCCGGCGATGCGCTGCAGAAATGTATGCCCACCTTTTTGAATATTGTGAAGGAGGTTACCGGCGATCCGGAATACTCAATGTTCAATCTGTCATTACGAGAGGACTGGAAAACCTGCCGGTCGACGGCGCATGGTAAGCAGCAGAAGCAACAGCCACAGCGCGAATCGCCAAAATCATCGCCGGACAAGCAACAATATCATCCGTACGACGAAAACAGTGACTAAGGCAGAGCTACTTACCAGAACTACTACTACTACTACCACTAATAGTACTACTATTACTACTACTATGACGACAGCGATCATACGCCTCAAATGCTTTTGCTGTCATCATCAAATCAAAGTCAAAGTCCAAAGAATTTGTTCTGCTAGTTGTTTGCCTTTCATTCATGTTTTGCTGTACATACGATACGCTACAATTCTTCAAATACCCAACCAACCGATCAACTTGGCTTGATGACAACTTTTCTTTAGCCTAATTATATAAATATATTTTTTTTTTTTTAATTTTTTGTTGTAGCTCCTAAAAAGGGCGACACAAAGGGCGTAGCACCCAATCCAACGGTGCTCAATGGGCATTAGAAACTAGAATCTCTACTAAATATATATATATATACACACACACACACACCTATGACCACACAACCCTAACAAGCGACCATTTTACCATAATCTAATTAATAAGAGAACAATTCTATCTATATAAATATTTGTAAATTGGGCTTAAGACCTTCGTTTGGCCATCAAAATTATTCAATAATTTGTATAATAAATATCACTAATTATGATTAATTATAATTATGCCACTTTTGTTACCCTACCTCGCGCTAAATTTTCATTCGTTACTTATTTGTGTGTACTTAAAAAACACAATTGTGGATTTGCTCAATTGTGTTACCAAAGTGCAGAGTCTAGTGTAATTAAGCAGCAAATTAATCAATATATGTATATATATAAGATTGTATGTGTGCATTGATTGTACTTAATTTTTATGTTTCGTTTGCCCGCCATAACCCATACATGGCCAATAACAATATATATAAGCTGTATGTGTAAATGTAAAAGTGTATTTGTTGTTTTAGTTGTATTTCGTGTGTGTGTCTATGCAGCGATTGCTATATTTAATGCTAATGCAACAACAAAAACACTTTAAAAAATCATGTTTCCTTTGTAAACCTTTTTAGGAAAAAAAAATAAAATAAAATAAATTACCTATGAGAAGACCACCAAAAACAAAAAAGAAAAACTTCTTTTCATTTCATTTGCAATACCTTGATTTGTCTAGTCTATATAATTTAGTAAATGCTAAATAAATAGGGATCGGCATATAAAAATTTAAAATACACACTTTTGGTTGCGGTAGCGGGACTAGAGCAAATGCTGAATTGCTGTTATTCCGGTTTACTTATCCTTATTGATGCACTTAATGAGTCCATCGACAGCGCGATTAATGCGCAATAGCAACAAATAGCCCACAATGAGAGCTGGCAGACCGACAAAGGTGGCCAAGGCTTCGTAGATGAAGCGCGGCGCAAAGATCTTCCAGACCATCAAATGGCGACAGTGTATGGTACAGGCAAGCATGGCACAGAAGATCTGCAATAGAAATAGGTCAGTTTCATTTTCTTCAATTTTGGACAGTTAACACACCTTAAGGCCCTGCAGCATAAAGAACTGCGTGGCCAGCTTGAAGCCTGCACCAAGGAAAACATCCTCATACTCATACAACGCCAGCTCGCCACGTGTCATATCAAAGCCCACAGCATCGTTGGCCAAATCAGACAAAGCTGTAGCCGCTGAACTAGCTTTGGCATTGCTGCGATTGTTGGTATTGCTGTTGCTGCTGCAGCTCTTGATGAGATTGGGAAACAGAGCAAACAGCGAGAAGGTCTCTGTGCTGAGCAGCGAGTACATGCAGTAGAAGAAGATGGGCCCGCAAAAGGTGTTGAGTATGACCAGCGTGCCGGATATGAGATGAGATTGCCCCAAGGCGCTAGACCGTCCCACAAAGGCAGCGCGCCAGTCGATCTGGGATAACGTTGTCTGATGAGACGTGGCAAAGAAGCAAAAGTGCGCCAGCAGAAACCAGCCGACCACAGCGCTAAATGTGGGCTGCACGCAGCTCTCTGTAGTTATAAATTCAACATTAATTAAAGAGAAACATTAGTTAATTAATTACCACATACCAAAGCTGTTGGCTGTGCGATAGCGTAGAATGCCGTGCAAGCTCAGTAAAATAGCTCCAACGACAATGCAGACAATCAGACCGATGCTCGCACGCGGCTCGAGCAGCACAATCATCAGCATGGCAAGGAAGACGCCAAATGAGATGATGATCGATGAGTAGACGGTGGCCAGGCCATAGACAACGGGTATCTCATAGCGTTGCTCAGCATCGTCGCCTTCGTACATGCGCTTCATTTTCCGAAAGATTTCCGGCACAATGCTATCCTGCCCATTGACCGTAATTGTATTTGGATTTTTGGGCGGCAGCACAAATACCATCAGTGGCGACCAGGAGACGACCAGAATTTGCAATAGCAGCAATCCATAGATGACCAGAGCCATGGTGTCTATGTGTGTGCGTTGTATATTCTTCACGGTGCTATTGGCGAGCAGTATATGCCCGCCAGCACAAATGGAAGCGACAGTTGGTCCGTAGCGTGCCAGCAGGACATTTGCTGAATTGCCGGTCAAATTGCCACAGGAGCGCAAATACAAACGAGTCAATGTGGTGTACAAAACAATTATGACGACAGCTAGTATATAGGTCTTGCCCATCGCTGGTTTCTTCACGGAGAAGCCCGCCGTGCTGGCGCTTGCGAAATCTGCGCAATTGCCTTGCTCCTCGCGACAGCGGAAGAGCGTGTAGGCAAAGCGAATGCAGCAGATGGCCAACAAGCTGGCCAACACCAATCGTAGGGTTGTGGAGCGCAAGAGCTGCGACCATTTGAACTTGTTCTTGAAATCTAAACGTGCGCTCAACTGCAGCAGCTCGTAGACAAACAGCAGAATGATGGCCACTAGCAGATAGGACAATATCTTGGCCTCCTGTATGACAAAGCTGTTGGAGAAGAAGACGGCGACACTGGCAAAGAGCAGCAGGCGTGTTGGCATATGGCCAAAACGCTTCACATTTGCCCAATTGTTGGCAATGCTTTTCCAATGTCGAATCGTATAAAAAGCCAGCAGAACAGCGCTGAGCAGACTGGTAAAGAATATGACGCCATGTTCCTCCGTCTTGAACGAAAAGCTCTTGTAGTAGCGATAGCCAAAGACGCCAGCAGCAATGTTAATCAGAAACGTGTAGAACACTTCTTTGGGCTTAAATATTTGTGCATAACCGCCGGCATTCGAGTTGTTCACCAACAGAAAGGCAAAGAAGATGGGCAGAAAACTAAATAGCAAGCCCTGCGACATCTGCGTGGGCTCAAACTTAACCCAAATCTCGCGACAGACATTGAGGATGTCACGTAAATTGATATTTAGATCGCGCACAAACGACTTGAAGGCCGCCTCGTTGTAGATTGTTTGCACACGATGTGTGAGTAGTATAAATTCCGTTTCCAGCTTATCCATTTCCTCGACATTAAACGTGCGCTTATTCTCCATGGCATATTTGAAGAAGTAGCGATAGATTTGATGGGCATTTTGCCAGGCGTGCAGCAGCAATGTTTGAAATTTACTCAAATGTGGCACTGCAATGGCGGGCACAATATTAAAGTTGATCAGGCCGAGATTCGAATAGGGTATGGGCACGCCGAGTATGGTCGATAAAGTGGGCACCAGATCAATCTGTAAGACAAGTAGTTGGTTAGTTCTTATCGGTATGACGTGTGTGCTCAAGATAAAGTCGTGTGTGTGTCTTGTCTTATCTGGTGTTACCTGCTGCAGCAATTCGCTATCAGATCCCGAATCGTTGCTGGTATAGAATTTATGCTGCTTTGTGTAGGCAAACAGCAGCGCATTCGTTTCGTCATCAGTATCACCGCCATGATCCCCACTAGCCGTCATACCATGATCGCCCATTATCAGCAACGTGGTCTCATTATCCATGGCAGCCACGACGGAGCTACATAGATATATACATATATTGAGCACATATTGTGATATCTTTGATTTAGAAAGATTTTCTACCTTATAATATCATTCATTTCGGTTAATTTGCGCGCCATTTCATCGTGGATGGGTCCATGTTTGTGGCCACAATGATCGACGCCCAGGAAGTGTGCTATGAGCACCTGCCAATCATTGCTGGCCAGCTCCTTGGGCAGACGCTGCTTTATCTGATTGTCCACGCTATCCAAATCGAATATATCAAAGCTGGGATAGGAGTAGGCACGCTTGAAACGACGCGGGTACAGATCAGTCCATGTGCTATCGCCCAGAAAAACCAAGGGCAAATGGCTCTTGACCATCTGATCAATGATATTATCCTCATTTATCTCGGGCGAGGCAAAGTTGGAGCCAATGTCAATAAAGGTGGGCAGACTGCCTGTGGTGAGACCCTTCAAGCGTTGCAACGTAGTCGTGGGCGGATCTGCTCTAAAGCGCATTAGACGCGCATGCTCCGGCGACTGTTGCAACAGCCGATGCAGCACTTCCAATTTGTTTTCATAAGGCAACGGCGGTTCAGTGGCATTCTCTTTGTACACACCAAATTCATATTTTAATGCATCTATGACAAGCATAATAACTTTCGATTTTTGTGGAAGACATAAATTGGAGGACGTCGAGGCGTTGACATCCTTAAAGATCTCCTGCACCACCTCCGGTGTCAGGTAATATTCCTATTTACATAGAAGAAGAAGAAGAAACAAAGATTTAGTTACTCACCCAATCAATTTACAACAAATGTACACTTACATCATCGGGATTTGTGGATAGGTGGCGGCAGCTGCTTGTCTCCGTCTTGGAGACGCGCGCCAGCAGAAATCCTCGGGAAAAGAGCAGCACACCGCTGCATATCAAATAGGCGAGCCAAATGAGCACAAACAAGTATGTGTAGTTCATTGTGAGACGCCAGTACGCTTACGCTAATTACGACTATTTATTAATTTTAATTGCACTTTCAATGTGGAGCCACTTAAATACGTCAAGTGTTCTTCAGCATCCCGATTCGTACTTAATTTCATTTAGAGTTTGTCATTTCTTTCAATTTTTTCACGGCTTTTCTGTCGCTCTCTGTAAACTGTGCTGGGGAGCGTTGCCAGCTTGTTTTTTGTTGCTTAGCAGCAGCTGTTGTTAAATTTTATGCAGCCCTGGTCAAACCAGAGAGAAAGAGAGAGAGCAGACAGCTTGGCGCTATATTTAAACTCAAATTGAATCAAAACAAACATTTCCTTCGATTGGGGCACAAAAATTTTAGTTTTTATTTAAAGTTCCCATACACATATAGCAAATCTTAGATCAAGTATAGTTGCAACGWATTAGCTTTGTGTGTGTGTGCTTTAAATTTTGTATATATTCAACGGCCATTTCTCCTCGTTCTTCTTAAATAATCAATTTATTTTAAAAAGCTTGCAAGCTCCAATTTGTTTTAGAATAACTTTAAATTAAATTTTGGAATAAATTTCTTATGTACGCCATTTAGCCACACGACCCAAAGTCTATAGAAAAAAAATAAATGAAAATATAAAAATATACATATATA